CTGCTTGCGTTGTGGCCGAAACGTTGTGATAATTTTATTTTATTATATTAAATTTTTATTATTTTATTATTTCCCTTCTACGTGACTTTACCGAAAGAACCAAGAAGATGAATCCCTGCAGTCACGAAAGCTTTAAATCAAAACGGTTACCGCTTGTGACCCTTTTTGCAGCTTAACATTATTTTAAGATTAAATTTTTTTCGTTGCGTCCACAAATATCACCGCTATCCACAGTTGTTGCGGATGACTGGATTAATTTGCCATTCGGTGCAGGGTATTAAATTGCATCTTCATGGGCCGTCTTTTGCGGGTAGTCGCAAAGATGATGACACGTCTTCAAACATCCCACACCATCATCGCCGTCATCTGCAGCTTAAAAAAAAATCGTAACGATCCTACGAGCTATTCTACCCTTCCACAATGTGGATAAGGGTCACGCATTTCGAAATGCCACTCACGCGCATGCATACTGATAGCACCCTGTGCAGCAGCAGCAGCAATGGCACCAATGGCAATTATCTTCTTCACTCGTTGATGGTAGCAGCAGCAAGAGCTGCATTCGTAGAGCAGCAGAGTACATTCGGCTCATCTGTGTTACAACAGTTATCACAATCACCACCCGAGGGATGTTTCAACCTTGCAGCCCGATCGGATCAGTCACTCTAACCCCAGCGGCTAACCAGCCGATCATAAACTAAACGGCAAACATTGATTTTCGAGTTGTTAAAATAAACGGCAAAGATGACAAAATATCAACGATACATTTAAACACGAGAGCGTAGAATGCGAAACCGCGGAGGCCACAGCGAAGATTGATTTGAACAGATTGTTCTTCACGTATCACTAATATGCACCGGTCGCGCTCCACTCTAGCGACATTAATGATGCTGCCTACCCCCCGGGGCTGGCGTCTCGCCTCCTCCGTGTAAGGGAGGCGTGCGGTGCTCTTGGCATCGTGCTGGACTTGTTGCATTCCCAGTGCTCTCACGTACCATCAATAAAGGGCACGCGCTGCTTCACAGAAGTCATTTTTCTTGAAAAAAATCTATTTATAATCTGCAAAGATGATATAAATTCATTCAATATTTAAACAGCATCACATTTCCACCGTGAAATACCTATATCAAGACCATTATATTGAAGGGATTTGTCTTAAACGCAAATACTGTTTATGACTATCTCCATGATACAATTGTACATTTACGATTCATCTTTGTTGCTATAAGTTCGACGGCCGGCGGCGTCACGCAAATATTACACCTTATAGTTAATAGAGCAATACCCCCATTTACGACTCCCCCTTTAACGTATTTAATTACTCTATTAACTTCTTTTGCACCGGATGTAGCCAACCGTGCTAACTAGAAGTCCTGTGTTGCAAATTAATCGTTGAGTTCTTAACACCGCAACCCAATTATTTTCGTTGCCTCAACCCCCACACTGACGTCGTTGACAGCGTCGTCGTCCGTCCTGTCTCGTTATCCGTCGCCTCTCAGCCTTCGCCTCCACCCACTGCTACACTGTACATGGAACCGCTTTGTGTGTCGTGCATAAATGCAGCGTTCTGAAGAGTACAATATATTATTTATATAAGGTATTTGGTGATTTTTTATAGTGTACTTTATCTTATTGTACACTGTTATTTGTGTTAAAGTTTACCGCTGTACACTCGCGTTGAGTGCGGTATGTTCAGTCATGTAACGTAACTGTCTCAGTGCCACCACATCACGTTCCAGTCTCCATGTCGACCGTGTAACTGGCTCAGTGCCACTAAACCGGGCTCCAGTCTCCGTGTTGACCGTGTAACTGGCTCAGTGCCACTAAACCGGGCTCCAGTCTCCATGTCGACCGTGTAACTGGCTCAGTACCAATAAACCGGGCTCCAGTCTCCGTGTTGACCGTGTAACTGGCTCAGTACCACTAAACCAGGATCTAGTCTCCATGTTGACCGTGTAACTGGCTCAGTACCACTAAACCAGGCCCCAGTCTCCATGTCGACCGTGTAACTGGCTCAGTACCACTAAACCGGGCCCCAGTCTCCATGTCGACCGTGTAACTGGCTCAGTACCAATAAACCGGGCTCCAGTCTCCATGTCGACCGTGTAACTGGCTCAGTACCAATAAACCGGGCCCCAGTCTCCATGTCAACCGTGTAACTGGCTCAGTACCAATAAACCAGGCCCCAGTCTCCATGTCGACCGTGTAACTGGCTCAGTACCACTAAACCGGGCCCCAGTCTCCATGTCGACCGTGTAACTGGCTCAGTACCAATAAACCGGGCTCCAGTCTCCATGTCGACCGTGTAACTGGCTCAGTACCAATAAACCGGGCCCCAGTCTCCATGTCAACCGTGTAACTGGCTCAGTACCAATAAACCGGGCTCCAGTCTCCATGTCGACCGTGTAACTGGCTCAGTGCCACTAAACCGGGCCCCAGTCTCCATGTCAACCGTGTAACTGGCTCAGTACCACTAAACCGGGCTCCAGTCTCCGTGTTGACCGTGGAACTGGCTCAGTACCACTCATTGACTAAACCAAGGGGTCGGCAAAAACCCGTGGCTCCAGAGCCGCACGAGGATCTTTGGAATGCCCCCCTTGTGGACAGCTGTTTCAATTGTTTTTAATATAAATAAATCTTAAACATAATTTGACTCACAGATAATAAGCATTTATTTCACGTGATGGGGAATGGGGTCACTATGGAATGTCTTGGTGACGACATGGACAACAGTCAAACTATATCGTTAAAGAATACACATTGCTCTGCGTGTGATGCGGCTCTCCAAATATGTTTGTCAAAGACAAAAAATGGCGGTTCTTTGGAAGGGTGCCGACCACTGCAGTAAACAGTGCTTTTATTACAAATATTTATCACACCGGCAGATAATAGCGTGCAAGGGTCGACCGCCGATTGGAGTTTGGCCTCGTGACTGTCCAATAGTGGGAGTGGAGCAGAGAGCGGTTGTATAGCAGATAGCGGTTAGCACGGTGTGCTACGAACCCAGCCAGCCGAGTTGGATTCCCGCTCACGGCCAACACCAGTGGCGATTATCTGAACCGGTCCTGGGAATCCCTTAGGTCAACTCAGCCTCAAATGAGTACCTGGTTGCGGTGTGCAAACGTCGCCGCTGGGAAGAAAATAGCGGCCAGGCGCGGTGTTGGCCACCCGCCGTGCCGGCCTTCGACCGTGGAACTCGCTCAGTACTACTAAACCGGGTCCCAGTCTCCATGTCGACCAAAAGTCTGTTAAAGCTACACGGGGGACCTTTGTCTCTGTGTGGATCATTGAACACAAGCACAGAAACCACCTGCCGCGCCACGTGTCATTTGCGTGCAGGTGTGCGCGTAGCCACCAATGCGGTAAAACTCGGGGAGCAATTTTCTGTTTATTAAGGAATAAAAGAGAAGAAGAAAAAAACCTGCTAGAAATGTAAATGTGAGTGTGCTCGTCTGTGCCACCGGAGTCACGGCTTTCCGCGCCCGCGGCTGACTACAGTGGAAAATTAGTTACGGACTGTTCGTGCATAAATGTTTCAACTGAATGGGAGAAAGCTATTTATCTATTTTTTTATTTTACCAGGTAAGGCCCCACTGAGCTATATAGCTGTTTTTTCAGAAGCAACCCGGCCACAAATGATTGCTCAACGAAGTGGCTTGTGACGAAATCTATAGCAGCCCAAATGTTGTTTCTAAATGTGGAGGGAAAAAAACTGAGGATCCAGAGAAAAATCCACGCAAACTCCAAATTTACAGCAGGCGTCAGGGTCGGGACCGAACTAACGACCTCCTGTGTACCTGGAGAGGGAGTTAACTTGACCCCTCCCCTCTCCCTGGAAGCACGCGGACTTATTACACCCCCCCCCCCCCCAAATCCTATAGAATGGCCGATATTTAATCCACGCAGAAACGATCAAGCATTAATAATATTAACGTGTTTAAGCAAACAGATAGGACACTATCTAACATTTGAAGGCCAATGTAAACAAATTCTTATCGAGCCTTCACCCCCCCGTTTCCTATGCGTACATTATCAGTAGACCCTCCATACGCAAGCTACGCATTTGGGTTACCCCCCTCTCTCCAATGGATGACCCCTAACCCCCAGGGGTCCTGTTGAGACGTTCCGTGGCACTTTAATTGCCGGCAATGATAATAATGCGATGGTGAAAATGCGATAACGATGATAATGCGATAACGATGATAATGCGATAATGATAATGCGATGGTTATAATAATGCGATAACGATGATAATGCGATGGTTATAATAATGCGATGATGATAATGCGATAACGATGATAATGCGATGGTTATAATAATGCGATGATGATAATGCGATAACGATGATAATGCGATGTTACAATAATGCGATAACGATGATAATGCGATGGTTATAATAATGCGATGGTTATAATAATGCGATATTTGCAAGCACTGCGCTCCGCCGCCACCAAGAACCCCGTTCCGTGCCGAGTTCGAGTCCAGGCGGTGGCGCTCATTCGTGGCGAGCGATGATGAGAGAGCTCCCCCGTGTTGGTGCTCTAGGGGGTGCGTGGTGTCTTGTCTTTCCGGGTTTTACTGTATGCTCGTGTGTGTGCGCGAAGCTTTTGTTTTCACGTAAGTGTATGCGTTTTTTGTGTGTTCATGCGAGTGTCACGAGTTTGTGTGCGTGTGCGTATGTGTGAGTGAGTTTGTGAGTGTTTTCATAGCAATGTGTGCGTTGTTCTTGACTTTGTGAGCCGTGTGGGGCTGCTGGAGTCGGGGAGAGCTTCGCTAAAGAGGCCCTCGCTGCTACTGCGGCTGTCGTCCGGTTTCGGTTTGGGCCCTGCAACTTCCTCCTGCAAGCGCCTCGACCGCCCGGGAGGGGAGGGCATTGGCGGGCAACCTCTCAACCCCGCAGCGGCCCTCCACACCTCCACCACTCCGACCATCTTCTCTCTCTCATCTCGACCACTCCGACATCGTCTCTCTCATCTCGACCACTCCGACCATCTTCTCTCTCACCTCGACCACTCCGACCATCTTCTCTCTCACCTCGACCACTCCGACCATCTTCTCTCTCTCATCTCGACCACTCCGACCATCTTCTCTCTCACCTCGACCACTCCGACCATCTTCTCTCTCACCTCGGCCACTCCGACCATCTTCTCTCTCTCACCTCGACCACTCCGGCATCGTCTCTCTCTCACCTCGACCACTCCGGCATCGTCTCGCCGAGACACCTCGGGCCAGGTGAGGACCCCAGCACGCGAGGACCCAGGGCAACAAGTCGCCCTGGTGACTGTGACTCGCCTCAAGCCTGTCACCCGCTACAAGTCGCCCTGGTGACTCGCCTCAAGCCTGTCACCCGCAACAAGTCGCCCTGGTGACTGTGACTCGCCTCAACCCTGTCACCCGCAACAAGTCGCTCTGGTGACTCGCCTCAAGCCTGTCACCCGCAACAAGTCGCCCTGGTGACTGTGACTCGCCTCAAGCCTGTCACCCGCAACAAGTCGCCCTGGTGACTGTGACTCGCCTCAACCCTGTCACCCGCAACAAGTCGCTCTGGTGACTCGCCTCAAGCCTGTCACCCGCAACAAGTCGCCCTGGTGACTGTGACTCGCCTCAACCCTGTCACCCGCAACAAGTCGCTCTGGTGACTCGCCTCAAGCCTGTCACCCGCAACAAGTCGCCCTGGTGACTGTGACTCGCCTCAAGCCTGTCACCCGCAACAAGTCGCCCTGGTGACTGTGACTCGCCTCAAGCCTGTCACCCGCAACAAGTCGTCCTGGTGACTGTGACTCGCCTCAAGCGTGTCACCCGCAACAAGTCGCCCTGGTGACTCGCCTCAAGCCTGTCACCCGCAACAAGTCGCCCTGGTGACTGTGACTCGCCTCAACCCTGTCACCCGCAACAAGTCGTCCTGGTGACTGTGACTCGCCTCAACTCTGTCGCCTGAACCCGCAACAAGTCGCCCTGATATTGAGCTCGCCACGACACCGCCCGCCATGGCCTCGAGGTTGAAGCAGCTGGGCGAGGAGTTGACGTGCGTCGTGTGCATGGAGGAGTTCGCGGAACCCGTCACGCTCGGCTGCGGCCACAACTTCTGCCAGGGCTGCATCGAGCGCTGCTGGGAGGCCGAGGAGGGCGCCGGCGCGCCGCCGTCGTGCCCGCAGTGCCGCCGACGTTTCGCGGCGCGTCCCTTGCTGCAGAAGAACACCGTGCTCGCCAACGTGGTGAAGCAGCTGTCGCTGCGGGATTGCCTCGATGACGAACCCCTGCCAATGTTGCACCACAACCAGCAGCAGCAGAAACCGCAGCAGCAGCAGCAATGCGCCCTGTGCCTTCCGCAAATGCGCGCGGCCGTGAAGTCGTGCTTCACCTGCGACCTCTCCTTCTGCGCCGAGCACTCGCTGCCCCACTCGACGGCCGCCTACGGCCACCACAAGGTGGTGGAGCCCGCCGTGAACGTGGCGGCGAGGAAGTGCTCCGAGCACGGCGAGAGGCTGCGCTACGTGTGCCGCGAGGACGGCGCCCTCGTCTGCGTCGACTGCACCACGGTGGGCGCGCACAGGAACCACGCGGCGGTGAGGGTGGAGCGGGAGGACCCCGTGCTCAAGGTGAGACGGAGAGAGAGGTTGGTGGTCGTGGTGATCGGGTGGTGATGGTTGTTGGTGGTGGTGATGATGGTGGATGGTGTTGGTGGTGGGTGGGTGGTTTGTTGAATGGGTAGTTGGTTGGTAGTGGTGGTGGTAGTGGTGGTTGGTGGCCTGGCGTAGTGCTGGCCACCCCACCCCCTCGTGTGCCGTGCCGGTCTTCATATGTACACGCTAAAGGCACTTGTCCCAACGGTCTGTTAAGGCTACACGGGGGATCTTTGTCTTTGGTGGTTGGTGGTGGAGCGCACGGAGAAAGATTGCGGTTGGAACTCCGCCAGGCGAGAGCAGTAGATAGAGCCTGTCGCTGGGATGTCATCGAGTTGAGTGACATTCATCCGTCACTCAAACGTCACTTTGCACCTCCAATGAGCAGGGTTGGGCTACGTGCGGTGCGAAAGAAGTTCAACATGAACGTACATTCATCATCACTCTTATGTACGTCTGTTGCACTTCATTCGCACCGTCTGTGGCCCAACCATGGCCCCGTGCGCTGTTGTTTGAAGGCGCAGACAGCCCTGGCCACTCGCTGGCCAGGGCTGGGGGAAGACGCCGCCCACTTGCTGGAGCTAATTCGTGCAGCTGGCCAGGCAAAGGTCCCATCAATTCACGTAAGCATTGTACAGGCCGGTCCAGATGTCTCGTGACCCACCGTTGAATTCTCTCAAAACTTACTTTTTTTAAAGTAAGCTTTATTTAAAACATAAATGAATATGCAAAGGAAAATTATTGTTAGGGGTCCAATTAATTGGGGGTCACAAGCCCCATCTGGACCACCTTGCGCACTTGTATCGCGTTGGTTTGTACTGGCCAGGGGATTTTTACTTCTCCCGAGTCTCTTTGTAGCCCTCACAGAGCCACTCGATTGCCTCTGACACCGCGCACATTCCTCCCAGTGGGAGCGAAGGCACCGGCCTGGCGCTCCGCAGGTGAGGCCTCTTCACCCGAGGCCTTCCCCGCACCTCGCCGATGAGAACGGTGGCTACGGACGCTTGCGAAATAAGTTCAACGTACTGTGTACATATCTTGGGTGGAGCAGAAAAACAAGTTGCGCCGTCTTAACCATTTGCGAATTTGACTTTTTACCGTTCGGGTGGTGTAATCGCACACACCAAGAACAAGCCGATTGCTCACTGAACATTTCTTACAAATTTCCTTTGGTTCTTTCGGTAAAGTCACGTAGAATGAGAATAAAATAATAAATTGATAAAATAAAATAACACAATAATATTCTCACGACGTTTCGGCCACAACACAAGCGGCCTTCATCAGGTGAGAATATTATTGTGTTATTTTATTTTATCACCTGATGAAGGCCGCTTGTGTTGTGGCCGAAACGTCGTGAGAATATTATTGTGTTATTTTATTTTATCAATTTATTATTTTATTCTCATTCTACGTGACTTTACCGAAAGAACCAAAGAAGATGAATCATTGCAGTCACGAAAGCTTTAAATCGAAATTTCTTACAAAGTTTTAGACACCTAAGATCAATTTTCCTGCTGAATCCTAGCAAGCACCAGGGCCACGTATCTCACCAACGCCAGCGGTCGGGTGTGTTGAGTCAACGGATGGAGGCTGGGTGACACTGCCACAAAGACAAAGATCCCCCGTTTAGGCTACACAGGCTGTTGGGGCAAGTGCTTCTAGCGAGCACCTATCAAGGCCGGAACAGTACACGAGGGGGTGTTTGGCCAGCACCATGCCCGACCGCCTTTGTATCGCCAGTGGCGATATTTAAACACTGCACCAGGTACTCATTTGAGGCTGAGTCGACCTAGGAGAAGCCCAGGGCCGGTTCAGATAATCTTCACTGGTGTTGGCCATGAGCGTGAATATGAACCCGGGTCGCCAGGTTCATAGCACAGCGCGCTAACTGCTACAATACCGCTGATGTTAACTACCTCGCCTGGTATGCAGGAGGTTATGGGTTTGATCCTGACCCTGAAAAAAGTATATTTGGAGTTTGATTGTTCTCCCTGTAGTCGTTTGGATTTTTCTGCGGGTCCTCTGGTTTTTCCTTCCACATTTATAACCATGCGATTAGAATATTTGGCTGCTATAAATGTCCACATGACCCACTTCATTGAGCTATAATTTTTTCATAGCCAGGTTTCTTTTGAAAAAGAGCTGTACAACTCAATGGCCCTTGCCTCGTAAGATAAAAATGGTTTTGTTTTTAGTAAATGCATACGTATATGCATCTACAATCTGCCTTCAAGACATTGCCTGCACTGATAAGCTGTGGGTGAATACGGGACACACATGCGACTCGACACAACCCTAAATAAATCCTCCGCAGGCTGTTTTCACCCCCACCCCACCGGGTCAGAGCGGTGGGGGTCACGTAATGAGAACGGAGCATTCAATCCCCCCATTCCTTGTGGCCAGTGCTTCCCGCTTTCGCAGACTCGCTTGCGGGGAGCACAGCGCCGTTCTCAGCGCATCTACTGCGCTGGCGATTGCAACGGTTGTTATCGCCTCCCGCACTCACGGTGGAAAGCAGCGCGTCCAGCCATATCCCACCGCGGTGTGAAACTGCAGCCGCCCCCGTGGCATCACGGGGCCTGCTGCAGCCGCCCCCGTGGCATCACGGCGGCGGCTGCAGCCAGCCCCATGGCATGCCGAGGCCTTTTGAACATCCAAAATAGTGCAGCTATAAACTAAACATTTTTTTTATTTTAACAGGTAAGGCCCATTAAGCTATATATAGGGTCCGTCCATAAATGATGTCACGCACCCGGGGGGGGGGGGGGTCAGACATTTGTGACGATGTGTGATGAGAGGGGGGGGGGGGGTTGAGAAATGTGACGTCACATCAATATGCGCAACTTGAAATAAATATAGACAACACGTTCTACTTAATTAAATAGACTTTTTAATAAATGTTTCTCCTACAACATCAGAGTGCAGCGCCACATTAAATACGCACTACAATGACAATAGTTTAAAGCGATTTGACACATGTTTTATTTCTTTTTTTGTGGGGGGGGGGGGGGCAGAGCTTTGTGACGTGATATTTGAGGGGGGGGTCTGACTTTTTGTGACGCCGTGTGACGAGGGGGGGGGTCAAAAATCGTCCAAAATCGCGTGACGTCATTTATGGACGGCCCCATAGCTCTTTTTCAGAAGTGACCTGGCAATTCAAAATGATAGCACAATGAAATGGATAATCAAGTGGAAATTTATAGCAGCCCAGAAACTCTGAAACGTGTGATGTTGAGTGTAAATATGGAGGGAAAAACTGGAGGACCCGGAGAAAAATCCACATGACCACGGGCAAGGAAAAAACGCAAACGCCAAATATACAGCAGGCGTCAGGGTCGGGATCAAACCCACGACCTCTTGTATACCAGGCGAGCTAGTTAACATCTCCTAGCCACCATGCTGCCGCCTGCTTCTTAGTGGAAGGCAGTGAGCTGGGCAGCGCCCCATCTCCATTGGCAGTCCCCCTGACGCGGTAGTCGGAACTCCGCAGCATTGGTGGCATGGACCGGTTTTAATAACTATCTCGATTCACTGTTCCGCAAAGTGGTATTCTACTTCATCCTCGCAGCAGCGGCTTTTGGCTAAGCTATTGAACAAAGACGGTCGTCGCATCGCTGCCCTTTCAGATGCGCTTCTGCGGCCATCTGTAACGCTCTTCCTTCCGATATTAGGAAGCCACTGGAGCTATGCACCTTTAAGTCATCTAGATTAAAAACGAATTTCTTTAGAACTGATTTTAATGTTTCGTTTGTTATCCTTCCCCCGCACCTCGGATTAGCACGGTTGGCTACGTACGGTGCAAAAGAAATCAAACATACATAGGCTGAGTTGACTCCTGCCACAGCACAAGCATCTGGCCAAATGCAGTCTGGTTCTCCCTGAACACCGCGTGTTGTTTTCATAATGCCATTTGGATATAACGCGATGAATGTATCGGGATTTTTTTTATATATACAGTGATGGAAAAAAGTATTTGATCCCCTGCTGATTTTGTACGTTTGCCCACTGAGAAAGAAATGATCAGTCTATAATTTTTATGGTAGGTTTATTTGAACACTGAGAGACAGAATAGTTATAAATTGATTTGCATTTTAATGAGGGAAATAAGTATTTGACCCCCTCTCAATCAGAAAGATTTCTGGCTCCCAGGTGTGTTTTATACAGGTAACGAGCTGAGATTAGGAGCACACTCTTAAAGGGAGTGCTCCTAATCTCAACTTGTTTCCTGTGTAGAGGAGTAAAATGGAGACGTGACGTCATGTGTGCCGTCCAGTGCGATGACGTCACGGAACGTGGCATCATGCGCGCTGGGCGGCTCGATGACGTCATGTCTTCTCTAGTATTTAAGGGGGACCCCGTGACGAAAGCGGGGTCACTGTGGGAACGGGTAGAGTGAGAAGGGTGGAGAGGGAACCAGGGGTAGAGAGGGATCGACGAGAGTCAGGAGTGAAGCCGGTGGTAGCTGTAGGAGGTGCTGCTCTTCCCGGTCGGTGGGGTTGGCAAGTTCCCCCATCCGACTCGAGGGAGAGAGCCCGGAGCTAGCCGAGCTGGACCAGGACTTAGTGTAGGACCCCTAACCCCTGGGAAGTTGTCACACCCTTTGTGTTATTGTAATATACTTAATAAACCTTTGGCGAAAGCCCTTACCTTCAAGCCGTCTCAGAGTCGTCGTCGGGAACTCAACACCTGTATAAAAGGCACCTGTCCACAGAAGCAATCAATCAATCAGATTCCAAACTTTCCACCATGGCCAAGACCAAAGAGATCTCCAAGGATGTCAGGGACAAGATTGTAGACCTACACAAGGCTGGAATGGGCTACAAGACCATTGCTAAGCAGCTTGGTGAGAAGATGACAACAGTTGGTGCGATTATTCGCAAATGGAAGAAACACAAAAGAACTGTCAATCTCCCTCGGCCTGGGGCTCCATGCAAGATCTCACCTCGTGGGGTTGCAATTATCATGAGAATGATGAGGAATCAGCCCAGAACTACACAGGAGGATCTTGTCAATGATCTCAAGGCAGCTGGGACCATAGTCACCAAGAAAACAATTGGTAACACACTACGCCATGAAGGACTGAAATCCTGCAGCGCCCGCAAGGTCCCCCTGCTCAAGAAAGCACATATACATGCCCGTCTGAAGTTTGCCAATGAACATCTGAATGATTCAGAGGACAACTGGGTGAAAGTGTTGTGGTCAGATGAGACCAAAATGGAGCTCTTTGGCATCAACTCAACCTGCTGTGTTTGGAGGAGGAATGCTGCCTATGACCCCAAGAACACCATCCCCACCATCAAACATGGAGGTGGAAACATTATGCTTTGGGGGTGTTTTTCTTCTAATGGGACAGGACAACTTGACCGCATCAAAGAGACGATGGACGGGGCCATGTACCATCAAATCTTGGGTGAGAACCTCCTTCCCTCAGCCAGGGCATTGAAAATGGGTTATGGATGGGTATTCCAGCATGACAAAGACCCAAAACACACGGCCAAGGCAACAAAGGAGTGGCTCAAGAAGAAGCACATTAAGGTCCTGGAGTGGCCTAGCCAGTCTCCAGACCTTAATCCCATAGAAAATCTGTGGAGGGAGCTGAAGGTTCGAGTTGCCAAACGTCAGCCTCGAAACCTTAATGACTTGGAGAAGATCTGCAAAGAGGAGTGGCACAAAATCCCTCCTGAGATGTGTGCAAACCTGGTGGCCAACTACAAGAAACGTCTGACCTCTGTGATTGCCAACAAGGGTTTTGTCACCAAGTACTAAGTCATGTTTTGCAGAGGGGTCAAATACTTATTTCCCTCATTAAAATGCATATCAATTTATAACATTTTTGACATGCGTTTTTCTGGATTTTTGTTGTTGTTATTCTGTCTCTCACTGTTCAAAGAAACCTACCATTAAAATTATAGACTGATCATTTCTTTGTCAGTGGGCAAACGTACAAAATCAACAGGAGATCAAATACTTTTTACCCTCACTGTATATAACGCAAATGAGAATTGGATATAACGCTATTAAGTGAATGGAACGATGTCGCACGGGTAGGAATAAGCAGTCGTACGGCTGCCTCGGCGTAGCATCACACAAAGCATTGGGATGCTGCTGGATGCTTCTAGATGCTACCCATGCGCCTCAGTCTTTGTTCGGGTTGCGTATGCATCTCACGTGTTATCACAGACTGTTGAATTACCTTGTATTATATATTGTTTATTATTATTATTATTATTTTTTCTTCCATAACACGGTGTTCTTCAGGATTGCATCTTGCACCGCGTTATAGGAGAACGGACCGTAATAATAATAACATCGTCGTCATCATAATCCCAATAAAAACGTGTGTGGTGCAGCAATTGTAGGGTGGTTCACGTACTGCACTCTCCCTTCCTCACTACTCATCCCCTCCCTTCCTCACCACCCACACACTCATTAGTTCAGCCCACCGGTGTGTTGGAGAGTAAATCCACAACATTTACAATTTCAGTACCATGGCGTTTCCCTGGTAATTACAACCAGTCACCATAATTCCGGTGGCCGGTTAACAACACATTTATATTTAACGCGATCTAACCCAAAACATCTTTATTATGAATAATATTGGTCGCAAAAGGCTACGTGTCGAAACTTACCTACCTTCATTTTGCATCACAGCCCCCGTGGACCGTCCCGGACCACCGGTGGTGCAAGAACCACGCTCTGAAAACCGCTGCCCTCTAGCTTATTGCCATCGCCAGTGAGGATTTTATATGATGGTATTTACGGTTCACACGTGGCAGAATTGGTGCACCCTGTCTGTGTGTATCCATGCTGCTGGTTTCAGGATGTAACCGCTGCTCATATTCGTCGTTCGCTGAAATGTAAAATGGTGCAGGTTCTGTGTCGTCACCCTCCACTGTCAATCGTCGCCATCTTCATTTTGCGGCTCATGGTGACCGCCGTGATCGTTCCGCGCACTCGGACAGCGAGATTTGGACTTTCGCAGCTTCGCAGTCAGGGGTCCATCGGCCCGGATCTTGCTACCGCTGTATGTTCGAGGCTCTTTAAACACATTTAACAAGTTCAGGAGAAAATGGGAGACAGTATTTTTTAATCGGACTTGGAATCTATGAATATTGCGTACTCGTGATAACCTAGGGTTATAAAAGTTGGCGCATTTATAAATGTACTTACTTACACATGGCATGTTTATACTCAAGAGTTCAGTTGTAAAAGAGCTGGATGGCTCAGCGGTTGAGAGAGCTGAAACGTGCGTTTAGAGAATTTGGGTGCGAAAACTTCCACCTGATAAGCTGTTTCGTTGAGCTGTCATTTGTGGCCAGGTCACTTCTAAAAAGGAGCTGTGTAGCTCAGCGGGCCTTACCTGGTAAAATAACTTGCAGTTTAAATCCTGATTGGTGCTATACTGGGCCCATTGTCCTACGTTATGGCACTCTCCTGCCATAACGTAGATGAGCAAGTCAGCCTCAACTGTCTGTTGGGTTATTTTTTTTACGGTTCTTTTCGTTTGAGGAGACGCGAGTGTGTGGCGCGCACTTAAACACCCGTCGTGTGAGCTCGCTCGGCCTCCCGCACCTGCAGCTTTGCCCTCGATTCACCCGCCCAGCCAGGAGCCTGCCGAGGAGCCATCTGTCTGCGATTTGAAGTTGGAAGTACGGTAATTAGACGTATTATAATGGTTCAAAATAACGGCTTGTCAGGATGTTATTATTTTAACATGTTGCTTGTGCTAATTGGCCGTTTGTATGATCACCAAGCTGTCTTTGTTGATGTTGTTTTTTTTTGTCTCCCCATAGAAATCTGCCTGTAAATGGGTAATTTACTTCCTTCATCGCATTAATTGGGGAATGTGAAGATTTCTCGATGCAACACATATACTAAATAAAACATTGGAGAAACACTTTAGGTGACTGTTTCATTGCAGAAATATATATATATATCTATATATTTAACGAATATAATTTGTCCCACGCAGAGTTGCATATTTTGCCCATCAAGCGATACGTTTGAGATCCCAACAACGTTTGTTAAATTGAGAGCAGAGTAAAAGCCCGCAGACGCTGTGTGTCCTGGGCTGTCAAGACAGCCGTCTGAGGCCTTGGGAATGATAAGAAAGCTAAGATCACAGTTATGTGTTTACACTAAAAGTTAACTTTTTTTATTTTAATATGCAAGGCCCACTGAGCTCTATAGCTCTTTTTCAGAAGCAACCTGGCGATCACAAATTATAGCGCAACGAATTGGCTTACCAAGTGGAAATGTATAGCAGACAAATACTCTAAACGCATGTTAATGCTAAATGTGGAGGGAAAAACCGGAAAAACCGGAGGACCCGGAGAAAAATCCACGTAACCACGGGGAGAACATGCACACTCCAAATATACAGCAGGCATCAGGGTCGGGATGAAACCCGCGACCTCCTGTAGACCAGGCAAGGTAGTTAACATCTCGCCACTGATGCCACTTGCATACGTACAAATACAACGTCGAAGCAGTGCCATTGCCCTGGAGTGCTTTGGGAAATAACCTGTCTGTGATTTTTAAGTATTTATTTTCCCCCTTCTCATTAACGAGGCTTACAATCGCGTTAAATAACTGTGGGACGCAGCCGATGAATGCTGTTGAGGTTGTGTCTTTTGTTTGAGAGGCAAAACACCGGTTGGGTTGACCAGCTGCCGTCCCGCACGTGGAGATGCATTCAACATGGCGGAATTTGGATGGGCAATAGGAAATGGGTCCACCACTGGGTCCACCACTGTTTTTTTAAAAATCACATGAGTTGGTCCACAAGGAGGTGGCAGATGGGGGCGTGCCACCACCACCACCGCCTGCAATGGGGATTCTCTGTGTTTGTACCGGCGTTCGGTGCACCGGCATTCATTGTGACGGCTGCAACGCAGTCTTTGTCAAAACACAGCACAGAAAAAAAGTGCCTCTCACCAGCAGCGTCCGTTCGGCGAACTCTCTTCGTACGTCACAACGCCCAGCTTGATTAATGTGCAGCCCATAGCTTATATCTGGTCTGCTTTTGCATCATTGCCCTGGCTGATATCGGCAGAGCAGCCTGCCACGGTGCCACGCGAGTTCTTATACATCCATCAATATAATAATAATTGTAATGCCTTATATCAATGTATAAATCTCTATCATGTCACTGCTGCATATAGGTCATGGGGGTGGTTTGACCAGACTTCACGCTGGCTTGAAGTCTGTAAAGTTGGGGCTGAAGGAATATTCGGGTTGGTGAAGAGGGGGGTGGGGGTCCAGGATCAGGTTCAGAAGCCACTCGCCACTGATGTTAGCCGTGGCTGGGTTCATAGCGGCAACTATCTAAACGCTGCACCCAACCAACAGTTTACGACTGCGATTTAGCATATGTATGTTGAACTTCTTTCGCACCATAAGTAGCCAACCACGCTCATCGGAGGTGCGATGGAAGGACAACAAATTAAACACAAAATGCAGTTCTAAATAAATGAGTTTGTCAATCTAGATGATTTTAAAGTGCATAGCTCTCAATGGCTTCCTAATATCGGAAGGAAGAACGTTCCAGACAGCCGCAGAAGCGCATCTGCAAGTGCCGCGCGATGATGCGGCGACCGTCTTTGTTCGGTGTTCAGCCAAAAGCTGCCGCCGCTGGTGTGAGGATGACCGGAGTTCGCGTGATGATGGTTTATGCTCCTTGACGAAATCTCTGTCCAACCTTTATTTTCAGAAAGCTCTTATGGACAAGCTGAACGCTTTGCAGCGTAAAATGAAAGCAGTAAGGGACAACAAGCTGGAATTTTCGGCCAGAGACCGTGACATGAAGGTAATCGCTCTCCTTTCAAACTTTTCTCAGCCACGAATACACCCCACCTTTCCGACAGATGAAACCCGGGCATATTTTTTATTTATTTTTAGAGCGCCTTAGCTCAAGGCGCTTTTACGAAGAGTGATTGAAAAAAAATACGATTTTTGTAATTTATCAGGTAAGGCCAACAAGTGATAGCTCAACGAAGTGGTTTATCACGTGGAAATTTATAGCAGCCCAAATACTGTAAATGCATGTTGATTCTAAATGTGGAGGGAAAAACCGGAGGACCTGGTGAAAAATCAACGCAACCAAGGGGCGGTGCAAGGGGCCGAGGAATGAGTGACTGCAACAGAGGGCACACGTGGGGTCACGATAGGATTAGAGGGGAGGGACAGGATGGAGTGGGAGGGGCAAGGAGAGGCGAATGGTCTGTCAAATCTGTGCAGTAAAACTGCGATTACGTTGAACAAGATACCAGTATGATAATTGTTTTTTTACCCTTTTATCTGCAACGAAAATTACACCTTTTTTTACAAGGAGTCATGTTTGCATTGACCACAATACCTGCGGTCGGAATGCAAACAAAAAACATAACTCTGATAATGTATGCACTGTCCTTCAAGGACAGTGCCTCATAGTATTATGGTCAATTCAAACATGACTCCTTGTAAAAAAGGTGTCATTTTTGTTGCCAGATAAAAGGGTAAAAAATCAATTAGCATATTTTGCTACTGGAAAAGGAGGTTCCAATGGTGAAGATACCAGTAGCAGATGTCGCTACAAAAGAAATTCCTGCTGCACAAACGCCAAACCCTGGACTGTACTGGGTTGCACGCTGATATAGGTGGCAAGCCCTACACAGCTGCCATCATTGCAGATGAGTTGTTACTCTCCATAATAAAGTTTTTTTTTTGGGTTAGATCACATACATATAAATGTGTCGTTAAACCTCCAACCACCCGACGCAGTAAATTTTGTAAGGTTTGTCACTTAAGCAAAACGGGCCAGTTAGCTGATATCTTGATTTGACGCTTTCGTGACTGCAGGCATCCATACTCTTTGGTTCTTTCGGTAAAGTCACGTAGGTAGAAAAATAATAGATCACGACGTTTCGATTGCAACACAAGCAATCGTCATCAGGTGGGACAACCACAAAAAGAAAAATCTGCTGAAGTAGGCGAGAGATCTGCCGTGGCACGAGGTTATATAGGCCTCGGTAGTAGGGGGGAGAGAGGAGGTGGGGGGAGATTGACAGTGGACCCCCGCAGCAGCACCCGGGTCACTGGAGTAAAGTTGACCACCGCGGCAGCACTGGAGAGGTCGGCTGCAGGGGGGGAAAGAGAAGGGGGGGAGGCAGGGCAGAAAGTGGACCCCGCAGTAGACTGATGTCTCCATCCTACCTGCCCATGTCAGCTGTTATTTCCGACTCTCTGTGTGCCTTTCTATCTCTGTGCTGCCCTGCTCCCCCCCCCTTCTCTCTCCCCCCCTGCAGCCGACCTCTCCAGTGCTGCCGCGGTGGCCCACTTTACTCCTGTGACCCGGGTGCTGCTCCTTCCCCCCACCCCCTTCTCTCTCCCTCCCTACTGCCGAGGCCTACTATATAGTCTCGTGCCATGGCAGATCTCTCGCCTACTTCAGCAGCTTTTTCTTGCTGTGGTTGTCCCACCTGATGACGATTGCTTGTGTTGCGATCGAAACGTAGTGATCTATTATTTTTCTACCGACGTGATTTTACCGAAATAATCAAAGAGTTAGCTGATAGTTCAGCACACTGGTGTTGGAGAATAAACCCACTACAATATTTCAAATTCAAATACCGTGACGTTTCGCACGGTTGTGTATTGGATAGTGTTTAGGGAATCGGTCTAATTTTCAGTGATAGGGTAGTTATAACTGAACAATAATACCGACTAACATCAATATTTAATATATATATAATTATTTGACTTGGTTGGTGAGTAGGCCATGCAGCTCCAGTTTTCTGATGTTTAATATAAACTTAGGTGACTACCCTGTTACTGACAGCGGTAGTTTATCCATCGAAATGGATAAACACTGCGTGTGCTTTATTCTGATCGATCCCGACCCTGACGCCTGCTTCATGTTTGTAGTTTGTGTGTCTCTCTCTCCCCGTGCTCGCGAGGATTTTTCTCCGTGTCCTCCGGTTTTTCCCTCCACATTTAGAATCAACATCACGCATTTTGAATATTTGGCTGCTATAAATTTCCAAGTGATGTTGATAGGCCACTTTGTTGAGCTGTTATTTGTGATAGCCAGGTCGCTTCTGAAAAAGAGCTAAACAGCTCAGTGGGGTCTTACATGGTAAAATAAAAATAGTAAAAATAATCGTTACCTCTGACAGAGGGAGCAACGCTCGATCTCCTCAACGCTTGCCCTGCAATGATCACGCCTCGGGGGGCCGTGGCCCCCCTATCGCGCTGCGTCGTGGAATTTATTTAAAAAAATGATTCACTGTGTAAACACAACTACAGTGACAAAGTTATTTATTTTGCGTGAAGCCATTATTGCTATAAATGTTTTTATTGTATCCCATAAATAAATCTGACATTTGTAATATATTGCCTTTTAAATTGTTCTAAATAAATAAATAAAGGTGATTTAAGTGATGGCATGTCTTGTGTGAGACAGTATAGCCTGAAGGTCTTTTTAAATGTATATTTTCTTTTATATTTGTCTTTTTCTCGAATAATTCAATTTATCAGCGTTGCAGCCTCCTTTGTTAAGTTCTTCAATCAGTTCTTGGAATTCAATTCCATTGGTTGCAATAACGGCTGCGTCATCGGAAAATCCAGACCTGGTTAATAATACTTTTACCTGCCATTTACGTTTCTGCCTTGATGATGGTTCCCGCTCGGGCATTGCTGACTTGGGTCGAAAGCGCTCAACACGCGTGCTTTCATTGAGAATCCAGTTCGACCACGGGGTAGCTAAAACCTGGATTCAAACCCTGCGGCTCTTGGTGTGACCAGCTCGCTGCTCTAACCCCCTGACCCGTTCAGCCACCTCAACCATAATGTGTACGTTGAACTTCCGTCGCACCGTAGCCAGCCGCTCTAATCGGAGGTGCCGGGGGGGGGGGGGTGAGAAGGGACATTCGTCGTTCGTAATGACTCCCCTACACACGCCCGCCACTCGGTCTTCTCCTGTGACAGACTGCTTTCACGGCCCACGCGAGCAAGGTGGAAGGGAGGCAGAAGGACATGAAGGCTTTCCTCGAGGGAGAGGTGAATGCTGCAAAGCAGGCGCTGAGCGGCGAGCAAGCCAAGGCGCTGCAGAAGACCAAGCAGGACGCCGACCGCTTGGACGCACGCCTCGCCGAGATCCAGGCGCTGGAGGCTGCCGCGCGCCAGCTGCTGCAGACGACGGACAGCTTGTCGTTCGTGCAGGTGAGAGGACGCCCTGTGCAGCAGCAGCAACATCGGTGTGCAGATGCGGGGAGAGAGAGAGATCCCCAACAATTGTCCATCGTCTACTCCACGAGCGGGCCTACGCTAGCGACGCACCGTAGTCAGCTTCTCGATGTTTTTGCTCATCGATCCTGGTTTTGCTTATCCACTGCTGAGGCCGGCGTTAACCCTTCTCCCGTGTTCGAGACGACCGAAAGTTGCAGGGTTGGTGAGTGTCCCGTTCACTGCTGGATCTCGGGAACGCGCGAGCAGTTCGGCGTTAATTTTATTAAGAGAGGCGTAGTAGCGCTCTTTTGTTTTTAACGACGTTGTTAGTCACCGCAAAGAACCGGAGTGACACGACCGCCGCACTCTGCTACAGTGAGGGAAAAAAGTATTTGATCCCCTGCTGATTTTGTACGTTTTCCCACTGACAAAGAAATGATCAGTCTATAATTTTAATGGTAGGTTTCTTTGAACAGTGAGAGACAGAATGACAACAACAAAAAATCCAGAAAAACGCGTGTCAAAAATGTTATAAATTGATTTGCATTTTAATGAGGGAAATAAGTATTTGACCCCTTTGCAAAACATGACTTAGTACTTGGTGGCAAAACCCTTGTTGGCAATCACAGAGATCAGACGTTTCTTGTAGTTGGCCACCAGATTTGCACACATCTCAGGGGGGATTTTGTCCCACTCCTCTTTGCAGATCTTCTCCAAGTCATTAAGGTTTCGAGGCTGACGTTTGGCAACTCGAACCTTCAGCTCCCTCCACAGATTTTCTATGGAATTAAGGTCTGGAGACTGGCTAGGCCACTCCAGGACCTTAATGTGCTTCTTCTTGAGCCACTCCTTTTTTGCCTTGGCTGTGTGTTTTGGGTCATTGTCATGCTGGAATACCCATCCATGACCCATTTTCAATGCCCTGGCTGAGGGAAGGAGGTTCTCCCCCAAGAGTTGACGGTACATGGCCCCGTCCATCGTCCCTTTGATGCGGTGAAGTTGTCCTGTCCCCTTAGCAGAAAAACACCCCCAAAGCATAAGATTTCCACCGCCATGTTTGACGGTGGGGATGGTGTTCTTGGGGTCATAGGCAGCATTCCTCCTCCAAGCACGGCGAGTTGAGTTGATGCTAAAGAGCTCAATTTTGGTCTCATCTGACCACAACACTTTCACCCAGTTGTCCTCTGAATCATTCAGATGTTCATTGGCAAACTTCAGACGGGCATGTATATGTGCTTTCTTGAGCAGGGGGACCTTGCGGGCGCTGCAGGATTTCAGTCCTTCATGGCGTAGTGTGTTACCAATTGTTTTCTTGGTGACTATGGTCCAAGCTGCCTTGAGATCATAGGCAAGATCCTCCCGTGTAGTTCTGGGCTGATTCCTCAACGTTCTCATGATCATTGCAACTCCACGAGGTGAGGTCTTGCATGGAGCCCCAGGCCGAGGGAGATTGACAGTTCTTTTGTGTTTCTTCCATTTGCGAATAATCGCACCAACTGTTGTCACCTTCTCATCAAGCTGCTTGGCAATGGTCTTGTAGCCCATTCCAGCCTTGTGTAGGTCTACAATCTTGTCCCTGACATCCTTGGAGAGCTCTTTGGTCTTGGCCATGGTGGAGAGTTTGAAATCTGATTGATTGATTGCTTATGTGGACAGTTGTCTTTTATACAGGTAGCAAGCTGAGATTAGGAGCACTCCCTTTAAGAGTGCTCCTAATCTCAGCTCATTACCTGTATAAAAGACACCTGGGAGCCAGAAATCTTTCTGATTGAGAGGGGGTCAAATACTTATTTCCCTCATTAAAATGCAAATCAATTTATAACATTTTTGACATGCGTTTTTCTGGATTTTCTTGTTGTTATTCTGTCTCTCACTGTTCAAATAAACCTACCATTAAATTATAGACTGATCATTTCTTTGTCAGTGGGCAAAGGTACAAAATCAGCAGGGATCACATACTCTTTTCCCTCACTGTATAGCCAGCGCCAAAACTGCCACACACCCCTCCCGCATGGCCTTGTGGGAGCCTCAGTACAGATAAAGTTATTTTATTTTATTTTTTCTTCTCATTTGTGCGTCAATCGGAACGGGAAAGGGTTAAGAAGCCTCTAGTGTTGTGATCCATAAGTTCCCATTATCTCCCTGCCTCACTGCCTCACTCCTCCGACCTGCGAAACGTCTCCTGCCATCATCCGCCACATCCTTGCACCAAGCTGCTGCTCAGACCCTCATCCGTGGCTTTCTTCACATCCCGAATCGATGACCGCAACTCTCACTATAATGGAGGTTTTTTTTTTGGGTTGGATCGCGTAAATATAAAAATGTAAATGTGTCGTTAAACCCGCCACCACCCATCACAGACAATTAGTAAGGTTTGTCATGTGAACAAAACGTGCCAATTAGTTAACTAGTTCATTACTCACCGGTTGTGTGTTGGAAAGTAAACCCACAACAACCCACCTCCAACACACCGGTGTGCTGAACTAGTAACTAATTAGCATGTTTTTGTTAACATGGCCTTATAATTGTCTGTGTCGGGTGGTGGCGGGTTTAACGACAGATCTATATGTGAGCTAATCAAAAAAGACCTCTTATGGATAATATTGGTCGCGAAAGCCTACTACTACGTGGTAAACTGCACACACTCTCCTCTGCAGCCTCCTCAAATCCCTCATTTCCTAACCCTAGAAGATACAAAATGTCATGGCTTAGACTTCCCACTTCAACCCATAAACCAGGGACCACATCACTCCAGTGCTTCAATCCCTCCACTGGCTTCCAATGCTTATCCCGGATCAACTTTGAAATCACATTACCATCCTCAAGACTTGGCCCCTTCCCCTCCCATATCACTCTACTCCCCCTCCGCACCAGCCAAGGTTTTCTGTCAAAGCCCTCCCCCCCTCCCCACCCAATGAAATTTACTGAGTGGGAGGTCGCTCATTCTCCTCCGCTGACCCCGCAGTCTGAAATTCCCTTCCCCCCCAGCCATCTGTGCTGTCAACTCCATGCCCCTGTTCAGGTCCAGGCTCATAGACCTTCCCCTTCCTTTACCCTTTCCGTGAAATAAATATGACCACCGATTCCCTACACCATCTGGAGATGCGGTCGCATTGCGACACCAATAGGAATCTAAATTTGTGCAACTTGTTTTGTCAAGGCATGGCCGATATGGCCACCTGATGCACAAATGGCGCATCGGAAGATTAAGCGGCCTGCAAATGGTGCGGCCACGAATCCCAAACCGTGGACTGCATTGGAAATAATCAGCCGCTCTCGTCACTCCTTTTTAGGAGGAACGGACGAGATCCACTCTTGCTTCTGAACAGACAATTGAGTGTATAATTAATCTGAAAATGACATTTAATCTGTTGCTATTAATCCATACGAAAAAAGATTTACTTTATATCACATGATACTATAACCAACGTGATGCATTACATTTGATTGAACAATGCATTTTGTGTGTTATAATTAATTATCTAAATGTCTTTGTTTTTTTTAGGAATATCCAATACATTCTGAAAGGTAATTATTTCACATTTTCTCACTAATTGTGCCATGTGTGTGTGTTTTTGAGGGAAGAACAAGTGACACAGTGGTTAGCGCACTGCGATAAGACCCTGGTGACCCGAGTTTGAGTCCGACCCGTGGCTAACGTCAGCTGCTCTGGGTGATGTCTAAACCGATCCTTGTCCCCTCCTTGCACCACAACGTGCCGACCGGCATGAAGTACGGTTAAACAACTCGCCCGATTAAAAATGTTCGCGAGGTGGCCCTTCATCCAGCAGTGGATGGACGAGGGGCTGTGAATGATCCACGTTTCACCTTCACACAAAGACAGATCCCCTGTATAGCCTTAACAGAATGCTGGGGCGAGTGCCTTTAGCAAACACCTATCAAGGCCGGCACGGCACACGAGGGAGTGGGTGGCCAGCACCACGCCCAGCCGCCTTCGTCTCCCTAGTATCGATGTTTACACACTGCACCGGGCACTGATTTGAGACTGAGTTGACCTAGGGGGGCCTAGGACCGGTTCAGATAATCGTTAAACGATCCACCAGGAGCGATAGACAGAGCTAAATGACTGCGCGTGTGTGCGCGTGTGTGCGTGTGTGTGCGTGCATGCGCGTTTGCCCGTGCGGGTTGTGGTGCAGGATTGACGCGGCGCTGGCGCAGATCCCAGACAAGGTGGAGCCTCCTGCCCTGGACGAGCACGGCATCACGGAGCACTTGGCGTGGCTGGACAGCGTTTTCACGCAGATAGACAAGATGCAAAAGACGAGAAATCTCTACCCATGGAGGATGTTCAGTACGTATGAGGGACGTGCAGTTCGCAACTTGAAGTGGCTGTGCGTTTAAAAATATTTTTAAGCTTTCAGCAGTGGTGTTTGGGGGATCCTTGCCACCGTTGAATTCCCTGTGCCCCCGTACTGTGAGATAATTTCCTCAAGTGGTTTTCAACCTTTTGTGGCTACAGCACCCCTTGTTGAATTTAGTTTCAACCGAGTAGCCCCTTGCCTGTCCTAACATGGTTCTGAGAAATAAATGTATGAATAATGATCATAAATATTTTAACCAATTATCCATTTTGTAATGCCATCCTAACTAGCTGGCAACTGCAAGCGAATAAAAAAGAAATTCAACGCATGCTCTGCATGCGTGTGACGTCATTTATTCGCGCTTGCTGGTTACTCTTGGAAACCACATTGTTTACGATCGATGAGTTTAGAAAGGTCTTTTATATCGTTCTAGGTTACTATACGGATTAAAATATTATCATAGTTATTTTATATTGGTAGATTCATACATGATGATGATTCACCAAAGACTCTCACGTACAATATAATTTCACACGTTTATAAATCACCTCACGTAACCCCCCCTGGGACATTGCCACGTCAACCCCCCAGGGGGTCCGCATCCCCTCCCCTCCCACTTGAGAACCACCAGGTGTAAACCGAACTTAAAACCCTTGGCTTTATTTGTTTTTTTCCGCAGACAAGCGCAATCTGGTGATGGACATCAGCACGGCGCATCCCAACCTGCTGATTTCCAAAGACTGCCACATGGCAACGTACTCGGAGGAAGCGCAGGACTACCCGGACAACGCCCAGCGGTTCGAGTGCGTCCTCCAGGTGCTCTGCACGGAGAGCTTCTCGTCGGGCCAGCACTACTGGGAGGTGTACGTGAAGTGTGGCACTCAGTGGGAGGTGGGCGTCGCCTACGGCTCCATCGGCAGGAAGCGGCACAACGAGAGGAACGTGCTGGGTAACAATTCCGTGTCCTGGTGCTTCTCGCTGGCCAACGGCGAGTTTTCCGGCTGGCACAACGGCAACAAAGCGGTCGTGGACGTTCGCCAGCCGCTCGAGGTTCTGGGTGTGCACCTCGACTACGAGGCCGGCACGGTCACGTTTTATAATGCGCAGTCGATGGCGCTGCTCCACTCGTTCACGGGCAGCTTCGCGCAGCCCCTGTACCCCGCCTTCGGCGTCTACCCTGCCTCGTCGCTTGCCCTCTGTGATTTTGGGCTCCTCTTCTAAAAGTCACGAGGATGATAAAAACATTTTTTGTAACGGTCGCTCTCAACAGCTGCACGGCGGGGCAGACCTCGCTTAGCGCTCTGCACCCGCTTTCCTGGAGGAGGGAGCACTCGTCGACTCGGTGCTAAAAGCAGGGGGCCCTCGAACCGTTATGCGTACGGGGGGGGGGGGAACGCGTTCCCGACACACCGGTGTTATTTCTTTCGTATGAGCAATATATATATACACGAGGGGCTTCATTGGTCTATCGGTAACATCTCTAATAATAATGTAGACGATAAATGTTATTTCGTGAAAATAATATTAAAACATCATCCATGAAGTATTATATACTGTACTCAAGACTGCATTCCAGTATACTACTACATGGCGGTGGTGGGGGAAGTCAAAGCGCTCCCAATCTGGGTCATTCTCAGAGAAGTGCTCCAGGAGACCTCCGCGGTCTTAGCGATCCCCTCGGTCTAAATTAGGGGTCACCAAACTACGGCCCGCAGGCCGGATCCGGCCCGCAATGTCAGTCCATCAGGCCCGCCGACGGTACTTGAATTTGGTTGATAAAACGTATGGAACACGAGATGTTGTGATACAATTTAAATTTAAATATGTTTAGAATACTAGGAGATGTTCATGCGTGCGGAGACCTCCTGACTGCTATGTTCCTTAAATTTACTATTTTAAATTTTAAATTATTGTATCTAGATTTTCTTGTTTATTGTAATATTTGCTTATTTCGCACCATCCCAAGTACTTCCCCGGCTCGTGGTAGCTCTGCCTACGCCCTTACGTTACCATGGTTTCCATGGCAACACACACAAACACGCATCTTTCCCGCCCCCAGATTTTCCAGCTGTCAACACAGGTCCGACGCTCCAGAAATATTTATTATGCGGCCCGTGCTCGTCATTCTTTCAGTTATCTGGCCCACTGTGAAAAAAAGTTTGGTGACCCCTGGTCTAAATGTCTGCGGTGAGGTTTCTTTTAGGAGGAACCTGAAACTCTGATTCCTGGTCTTGTGAGTTCTCACCTGGCTAAACAAACCGATTTTTTGTTGTTTTTTTTTCACGTAATCATGACCACAAGTTGTGATAATCGAATCACGGGGGGGGCGGGGTTGGGTGGTGGTGGTGCTGATTGGCTCAGAGCCATGCGTCGCTCTCATTGGCTGAGCTAATGATGGGGGCGGGGGGACGTATTCTCGGACGACCCCGCTGAACCATTCTCGCTCGAAAAGCGCTTTGTAGATTCGTTTAGTTTATTTTTTTTTATTTTCATACAACACTTTATCAAGTACAAATAGAGCTCTGTAACGAATCGTCGTTCTATGGGGGGACGTGCTAAGCGAGGTCTTCCCGCATGTTACTGTGATTGTGAATATAACCCCGGTGTGTGTTTACTACAATGAGACCAATTCATCGGCGCCAAAAATGGAATCGAATCTGAATTTTAACCGAGATTACTCATTTTGAAACCAAATCCAACTGAAACTTTTTCTCATGACATTTTTTTATTCAGAGGGCACTGCCCACATTCTGAAGTATGGCCAAACATTCCAAAAGTATGGCCAAACATTATAAAAGTATGGACAAACATTCTTAAAGTATGGCCAAACATAAAAGTATGCCCAAACATTATAAAAGTATGGCCAAACATTCTAAAAGTATGGCCACACATTCTATAGTATGGCCAAACATTTTATATAATGGCCAAACATTGTAAAAGCACAGGTCAAACATTGTTAAAGTATTGCCAAAGATTGTAAAATGATGGCCAAACATTGTAAAGTATGGCCAGACATTCTAAAGTAAGGCCTAACATGGCTAAGCAGCAGATATGGTGTGGGTATGACTTTGTCAAAGGTCTGGATTGACAAAGCTGTGCATAATTCATTATTATTCAAACGATGGGGTATTCATATTTATGCGATCTAACACAAAAAAAACTTTTATTCGTGAATACCATTTGGTCGCGAAAGCCTACGACTACTTCTACGTGTAAAAATTTGCGTGATGGCTTTGTTGTGGGGGGGGGGTACATTTTTTTGGCCCAAAACAATGCAGAAAGCCTCAAGGTCACAGCAGTTGGCAAATTAGTAAATATTTCTCTGAAACAGATTTCGTGCTGAACTTCAAACAAACGTGGGCTGATACAGAATTATTTTGCAGCCAATGCACACACGTTTGGCTTTCAGACACTGGGTTCACCACAGGCGCTCATCGGTTTTTTTTTTGTAATCATTAAACATCAACATTTACACAACCAAGAAGATAACGCCTCATGTGCAGGATTAAAAGCATTGATTTTTTTTTCCAGACATTCACGTGTGTGTATGTTGAACTTCTTTCGCACCGTAGTTAGCCAACCGTGCTAATTAGAGGTGCGGGGCAAGGATAAACTAAACACAAAAAGCAGTTCTCAAGAAATTAGTTTTCAATATAGATTATTTAAAAGTGCATATGTACTCATTCTCAGAGGGCACTCTGTGGGTGGGACTGTGTGTCCCCCTCTTGCTTGATTGAAACTATGAATAATGTTGAATTGGGCCGTAATTACATAACATATAAGTAATTCATGTAAAGTGAAGGACAGATTAATATGACCATGGTTCAGTGCATCGAGTTTGTGTAACTTCACCATTTGCATGGCAACATTTTTCTGAATAGCTTGTGCCAATATTCACGTTTAATCTTGGTCAGCATTTTGTCTCTCCAACAAGAAAGGAACTACCAGGACTTAAAAATGTATGTTTTTTTTATTTTCTTCAAATGGATGTATGTCAATCACATCATCGATCTTGGACAAAAAAATTTAAATGCTTTATTCACAATGAAGTGATGGGGACAGGGTGATGGGTGCGATAATCTGCGTGCTTTCATTTTTTTATTTAAATGTCCCAATCCGACGGTGCATTACCAAACTTATTTTGTTTGCAAAGTATTTTTTGTTCAATGTGCACAATGCTTGCATCGTGTTTCGTTCGACATTGCAACTTTCCACGTGGCTCTTCTTCTTCATAGCAAATTTGCTGTGCGTGTGGTTTGCAACGGTAACGCGTCACGGTGTGAAGGAGAAAAATACGGCAGTGCAGAGAGAGATAAGGGAGTGAGAGCGAGAGAGAGATGGGGTGGGGGAGTTTCAGAATTGGAATCCGAATACGTAGTTATACTGGAGGAATCTGATGAGCTATAAAGCTCTTCTTCACAGATGTCTAGTAGGGGCACGTGGTAAAAACGTTACAACAACAAACAATACAAAAATATGATAGGAGTGCAAGGTACAAGAAAGGTAAACAAGTCACCCCAACACATACAAATAAAACTAAACCATCCCCTTCCTAGCAGGCAAAGCCCACTGAGGTATTAACTTATTTTTCAGAAGCAACCTGTCCACAAATCATAGCTCAACAAAGTGGCTTATTACGTGGAAATTTATAGCAGCAAAATCTAAATAATTTCAATGCATATTTCTAAAAGGGGAGGGAAAAACCGGAGCCTGGGCAGAGAGCATTACAAGTGTGGGTGGCGAGATGTTAACTACCTCGCCTGGTATAAAGGAGATTGTGGGTTAGATCCAAACCCTGATGCCTGCTCTATATTTGGAGTTTGCTTGTCTCTGCCCGTGATCGTATTAATTTTGTATCCGGGTCGTCCGGTTTTTCCCTCCACATTTAGAATCAACATCACGCAATTATAGTATTTGGCTGCTATAAATGTCCACGTGATAAGACACTTGTTTGAGCTATCATTTGTGATAGCCAGGTCGCATCTGAAAAAGAGCTACATGGCTCCGACCAAATGTAAGGACCTGGTAAAATAAAATAAAGCGTTTAACAAACACCCTGATAATTTGAGGTGCGGGGGGACGGGACAAATTAAAAACAAAAACACTTCGAAAGAATGAGCTTTCAACCTAGAGTTTTCAATCGAGAAGGGAATTAGTTTTCAACATGTGGGTACAAACGGGCATTCAGCTTGCCACTACCTGGTAAAATAAAAATAGTAAGCATAGTAGGGTGGATGCTGAGAGTATGTGTAGGAGGAAGAGTGGGCGATTAAAAGAGCCCAGTGGCCAGGCAGACTAAGTGAAGGGTTCACGATCGTGCTCCAGCGTTTGGATGTGGAGTTCCATGTTCGGCGTTTCGCATCATACAGACAGCAGTTGACGGTGCACGTTATCCTTTTTTACGGAGCTTTCCTTTGGCGTGGGTCAAATAAATCCACAATACGCTGAGAGAGACGTTTGCGAGTTCGTCACCACGATCGTTGCAGCGGTCGTTTGCATGTGCGTCACAGTGCCGATGTTGGACGCAGCACATTCGCGGTATGGCTCAATACAGGGTGGCCCAAAAGTCAGGACACAGGGTTATTTCACTTTTTAACAAAGGCATTAAAAAGATTGTTTATCTTCAAGTTAACACTTTACCTGTTATATTCATGGTTTTTTCGGTAAAGTCACGTTGAAGGGAAACAATAAAATAATAAAATATAAAAAAAACAACGGCCGTTGGTTTTCACACCTGATGATGACTGCTTGTGTTGCAGTCGAAACGTCGTGAGAATTTTATTGTTTTATATATATTTTATTATTTTATTTTTTCCCTTCAACGTTACTTTACCGAAAGAACCAAGAATATGAATCACTGCAGTCACGAAAGCTTTAAATCAAAACTTTACCTGTTATCCTACTCGAATTGTAAATGTGGGTTTACTGAACCAGTAACTAATTGGCATGTTTTCTTTACGTGAAAAACCTTACCAATTGGCTGTGGCAGGTGGTGGCGCATTTAACGACACAGTTACGCGATCTAACCCAAAAAAAAACTATTTTTGAATGAGAGAAAATCCACCGGAGCTATGTACCTTTAAATAATCTAGATTGAGAGACTTCCTCAGGAGTCTTGAACTAATTTCTTTGGAACTGATTTTTGTGTTTAGATTTAAACGTGCATACAGCTGCAGTGGCTTCCTAATATTGGAAGGAAGAGCATTCCAGACGGCTGCAGAAGCGCATCTGAAAGCGTGTGATGCGGTGACCACCATCTTTGTTTAATGGCTAAGCCAAAAGCCGCGTGATGGTTTATGCTCCTTGATGAGAACAGCATGGTGCTGTGGGTTCACTTGTGGCAAGCACTTTGTGTGTAATGAATGCAATGTATTCGTTCGGCAACCGGAAATAACCTACCAAGTTAAACAGAACCAATTAGATGGATTGTATTTTCCACATACAGTTTAAGATAAGGTAGGCATCGGTATCAGAATTCAGAGCCGATGATCGTGCTGAGGACAAGTTCTGTTTGACAATCATTATTCTGTCATTATTACAGCAAACAGTCCGTTCTCCTACAACGCGGAGGTAGTTATCAAAGTGATGTCCTACTCAAATGAGCATTGAACCCAGAGCCGGTGGTGGAAAATCCACATTCCCATGACAGGGTTGAGTCTGTCCATTGGACAACCACTGTTGACTTTCCTACAAACCAGTACCGATTTATCTACCCTGGAGTGGTGATGAGATGAATCAGCTCCCCAGGGATTGAACTTGCAACCTTCCGATTGCGAGACATCTCGCTCTACCGCCTACAGCACCGTAGTTGTGAGGGGGAGGCAATTTGAGTTTATTAATATTACAACA